GCATACACATGATCTTGTGTTGTGTAGAAAATTTGAGCTGATTCAGATCAAATTTGGATTTTAAAATAAATTTTCAATTTGCTAAAAAATCAGCTCAATGACCCAATTTTCAGCATTAACATTTTAATTTATCTTATTACATATACATTGTATTTCTAATAGACACTACATAAAGAAGAGGTTATTCATAAAGCAGTGAATGATGATCAGTTAGTGTCTTCTGAGTCATTCCTCAAGCGACTCCTCTCTCGTGCTCTCACTTACACTCAGAGCACCTCTACTGATAATCTCAGGGACTGCTCTTTCGACCTTGAGAAACTAGCAGGGGTGGAGCCCTCGTTAAAGGGGTGTGGCTTGTTCTCAGCTCGTCTGTTACACTGTCAGTTACTTCTTAATAAAGTGAGTGGGCGTATTATAGGTGTGGTTATTGCAGTAATGTACAATGTGTATGGTTCTGAATTCTAATTATATGTACATGTACATGTATTAAAGGCTTTTCAGTATATACATTGTGTAGAATTTTTGAGTCAATTTTTATTATTTGTACTTGCACATACATGGGCAGGGATTGTCTTGTAAAGTTCATAGATAAAGCTTCTTAATTTGTCACCTAATCCCTATTGGTTAATGGTTGTACATGTAGATTACATTTAGATTGCACAATAGTTAGTTTATTAGTAAATGCTACTCTTATCTCTGTATAGACATGTACATGTACATGTACATTATTTTGTACATGTACATGTAAATGATTATTAATGGATACAATGTACATGTATTGTGCTGTAGGTTCGTCAGACCATGTCACACTCTGTACTAGTTGCTAGTGAGGCCAGTGAGATATCCAATATAGTAATGGAGGTAAATCACTTCATTTTAAAATATTAAAAAAAAATTTTTTAATTATAAAATATCACTTTTTTTATTCAAAAATACACGTACATGTATAAATTTTAAATTTAATCAATTAGTTGACTATGTTGAGTTACAGACTTCAGTATGGATATGTAAACCACTCTCCCTCGTTAATATTCCTGTTGTCATGGTTACGGACTCACGCCCACTGCATACTGTTACACCTTGCAATGAGATTGGACTGGCCGATAGATTACAAGTAGGTGTGGTTTGAACCACTATTAGTTGGACTATATTAATTGGGGCGAGCCTGAGCTCGCCCCACTAAGGCGAGAAAACGTTTGTTTGTTTGTTTGTTTGTTTGTACAGGCAGACCGTCTAACTATTATTAAAGTTAAATAGCCTAATCTTCATTAAAAGCGGGTGTGGTCACAATGATAAAATGGCGGCTATAAGCAAGTCTGAGCTTATTTTGCAGGAAACGGTCAGCTAGATAAGGCTAAACTGCTGTCTGAAACTTCTCTAGCAAGAATAAAAGTTGGGAGAGCACATATACAGTCTTTTCCTTGGTATAAAGGATTCTACTAAGGTGAATGCAAGTGAAAAAGCTGCATGTACTGTACTGCTAGCTGCATGCATCATGACATCTATTCTAGGTAATGTTTCTTCTCTAGGAGCAAGCCTAGGTTAACAAAGCAGATATACAATCTTCAAACATGATTTTTTCAGTGACTGCTTCTAACTATAAGCAAGATAACTTTAATTTAAGCAAGATGACTACAAGATACTGAATTTAGACATGTGCAATTGCTTTGCTAGCTCAGACATGTAGACATGCTGTATATCATACAGCACATAATCTACAGCTTGCTTAGGCTCGCCCCTTTAATGGTTTACATTCGTCTAGTTAACATGCAGTTTTGGAAGAAAACATGAACTATAGTCCGTGGTATTTTTCAGAATTTTGGGACCTTATTAAGATGGTTGTAGCTTGAAAAATTTAAGTCGGAATCAGCTCAAACTTCCTACACAGCTTAAGGACATCAATATGTATCAGAAAATGTAATAAAAATTTGGGGCAATTTCGGAGCCATTTTTCAGAAAAAACCATGGGCTATAGCCTTGGGTATTTTTCAGAATTTTGGGATTTTATTAAAATAGCCGTAACTTGAAAAATTGAAGTTGGAATCAACTCAAACCTTCTACATGTACATATATGGCATAAAGACATCAATATGTATTAGAAAATGTAAAAGTTTGTGGAGGCATTGGAGCCATTATTTGGATAAAAGCAAGTGCTCTAGTACATTGTCTTTTTAAAGAAATTAAAAATAGTTGTAACTCAAAAACTTTCTACACAGCATAAAGACTTCAATGTGTATTTGAGTTTATTAGTAGCCAATTTAATGCTACATTGACTGAGTTATAATGGTTTTATTTGTAGTGCTAACTTTATGCAGTTAAAGAAGAGTCTTGTCTCACGATTGGACACATTAAAGAGGTACAGTACGTGTGCCTTTATTTTGTCATTATTTTTATTTTTTGTAGATCGTCAAGTGAAAGTCACGTTACGTCGTACCCGTCACCTGTTCACACCTTGTTTGATAAAGACATAGTTACCATGGGAACGGACCAATTATCGTGCCTACTACAGAATATCATGGCATCTCCTGTAAGTCATACATGTACATGTACATGTACATTAAATGTACAAGATTATGTTGTATTATAGGGAGAGTGTATACATGTACATGTAGTATTGATAACTATTTGTAACGTGTGGCCGTGTCCCTAAAAATTAAGGCAAAATGGCTACTCTAGTGGTTACTTGTAATATTATTGGCGTTTCTTCACTGAAAAGAGTGTCTTTTGGTGGTAAAAGAACTAATACTGGTCGAGAGAAGTGTTCTACAGATGCCTACTCCTGGTTCTACACCTTATTTCTCTGTCTCTACTCACTACACAGTGTTATAACTATTAATTAATAAT